CGTAATACCGACAAAGTTAGCCGGCACTAGCCATAATGCTGGCCAATTTAGTCGGTATTATGTTCTTTCGATAATCCTTTGTTCGGGATTTTTGGCCCAAAATCTTATAATAACTCTACGTATAATTTCACCTAACTCACTGCAACTGCATCCTGTCCCACGCGAACCTTGTTAAAATATAAAATAAATAAACGTCACAATGAGTCTGGATATAACAAACCTTTTTATGACGAACCCACTCTGTAACGAATTTTTTTATTAGAATTTGGTGAGAAACGTAGTAAATTCTCCAAGAATTTTTGAAAAATTTTACTACAGTGCGAGACACCTAGAGGCTTCACAAACTTTAAAAGATAATATGGGATCTTTGCCTTGAAAATGACCTTGCGGTATCATGTACCGTAAGGTCATTTTCAAGGCAAAGACCCCATATATTCGATCTAAAAAACAATACGATAAAGAAAGCTACCGTTTTGTAATTTAATTTAATACAAGCTTAGAAGGATTCTTGCTAACACTAACAAACTACAGTATCTGCTATGTAAATTTTGTTCAGAGTTGGCCGATGACCTGAGTCATAATACAACTCTCTTGTTATAGTGAAGATTTGATATAAGGAATTTTTGAATTCCGGAATTATTAAACCCCAACTCGACATAGTGAAGTACATGTAGTATTCTCTCGTCATATAATCTCATGGCTTTGGTCGTACTGGTCATATAAATTTTGTTTAATATGATTCTTACTATCATAAAGTCATGTCAAACTCCATTATAACCAACAAAAATTTAAGTATAAAATTACATTACTATTGGCTAATTTGAATCTGTAGGTATAAACAGTAAAATTTAAAATGGGACAAATTTAACATATTTCCTTTAAGTGTCTTGCATTGTATAAGAGCCGTCTACAAAAAATTGGTCCACTCTGTAGTTTTGACCAATGCCGTATTGTCGCGAGCAATAAGTGAATCTGTGCCTGGTTTCAAATTTCGATTAAAATGTATAGAATTCAAATAAAAAATTTTTTATCGAATTTGATTAGGCGGTTGTCGAGATAAAATTTCAAAAAGCACAAAAAACGTCTATAAAAAACTTTAAATGAAGATATCTCGACAACCACTTGCCAAAATTCGATGAAGATTTTTGTTATCTGAATTCTATAAAACTATAGAATTCATACAAAAATTTTTTAACGAATTTTATTAAGCGATTGTGTTGTCGAGATATATTTGTTCAAAAAGCCCAAAAAATGTATATCAAAACAGAAGCAACGTCAAAACTTTATCTCAACTTAGGATTCTATATTTCATAGAATTCAAATAAAAAAAAAAAATTCATCGGGTTTGACCAGATGATTGTCGAGATGTCTTCGCTTAAAGTTTTTATTTTGAAACTTTAAGATATTTCGACAACCGTCTAATCAAAGTCATTAAAGATTTTTTTATTTTAATTCTATATATTCGCAGAATTCAAATAAAAATAAATGATTATAAAAAAATTACGACTTAAAATTTTTCTATATGACAAATTTGATTGGTTAATCAACGCGTTAGCAACATACGCGAAGTTTATTTGTTTACTATGTTAATATTCACGTGAGAATAAAATTCAAGGTATATATAGCACCAGATTTCCAGTGATTATTACATTGATATCCAAAACTCGTAGTCGACATATTTTTCCTTTTTTTGTTTCGAATATGTCTCCATCGCCTCAACACGAAGAATATCAGTATCTCAACCTTGTTAAACACATAATTGATCACGGTCAACATCGCGATGATCGTACCGGTACTGGAACAATATCTGTTTTCGCGCCACCACAACTACGATTTTCTTTACGAGATAATGTTTTTCCACTTTTAACTACAAAACGTGTTTTCGTGCGAGCAGTTATCGAAGAATTACTATGGTTTATTAAAGGTGATACCAATTCGAACCACTTAACTGAAAAGGGTATTCATATTTGGGACGATAACGGTTCACGTGAATACCTGGATAGAGTTGGATTGTCTCATAGGAAATCTGGAGATCTGGGCCCCGTTTATGGATTCCAATGGCGTCACTTTGGTGCAAAGTACGTTGATTGCGATGCAGATTATACTGGTCAAGGTGTTGATCAGCTTCAAGAAGTCATTAATAAAATTAAGAACCAACCAAATGATAGGCGTATTATTTTAA